TTTCCATTTCTTATTTAGATGATATTAATTACTTTCCTTCTTTTCTAATTTCCATTGATTTATTAATATTTTTCTCTAAAAAAAAGGATTTTTATTGGTCATTCTTTATAAATCCAAATTTCCCTTTTTTATATTTGTTATATTTAATTCTCAAATTGCAATTATGTAAACAATTTTGTTCTTATATATATATATATATATATATATATATGCATAACTTTTATTTTTATTTTTATTTTTTTTTACCTAAATGGGTATGTTAAATATTAATTTATAAAAAAATTTACCAAATTTACATATATATATATATATATTTCAAATATAATTTTAAAAAATTGGATTTTTATAATGCCCAATCAAGATACCCAAAGAACAAGCCTCAGCCCATACTACTTATTCCAAAGACCATTACGGCCCATTGACTCACACTCCCTAAGCCCTAAATTCGGCCCATTAGCCCACTGTATAAAATCCGGAAACGGCGTCGTTCGGAAATCAGTCTTTCGGCCAATCCCCAACATCCTCCGATTCCCTGTCATCCGTATCTCTCAGTGCAGTTCTCTTATTTCTCAAATCTTCTTCCAACATCAGCGGCGCCGCCACTTCGATTCACCACTTATCTCTCTTTCCAGATGATCCGCGGCTGAAACTGGAAGATTCCGTCTCCGTTGCATCGTCGCTTGATACGCAGAGAAAAGGGACCGTCATTGGTCTGCTCAATCGTGTAGCTGCCACCACCGTCGCTCTGTCTCCATTTGTTGCCTAAAAGTAATTTCTGCTTTATTCATTTCTTTCTTCAACGAAATTTTGAATGTGGTAGACCTAGGGCTTTTATTCCTTGAATGTCTGACCTCCTGTACTGTCTCAGCCTTGGCATCTCATATCGGAGACGCCGCCATTGAAGGTAAACCAAGTGAAATTGAGAGAAAGGAGAAAATCGTTTTGAGAAATTCGGTTATTTAGGTTTTTGAGTTGAGCTTGTATTGAACTGACTGAGAAATTGAAAAAATGTTGACAATGAAAGGAGACATTCTGATTTTCCATTTTTGTGTCTTAACAGGGAAGAGGGAGAATGAGTGAGATGGAGAAGAAAGAGGAGACAGAGAAAGAATTAGAAGCAGAGCAGGTAGTAAATCCATGGGAAGTATCCGCAAAGGATGGGGGCAAGATTGATTACGACAAGTTGATCGATAAGTTTGGGTGCCAAAGGCTCGATCAATCTCTCGTCGATCGTGTCCAACGCCTTACGTCTCGCCCTCCCCATGTCTTCCTCCGCCGCGGTGTCTTCTTCGCCCATCGGTCCTCACATACTCTATTCTGCAGATATTGGTGCTGCCTACGTGTGTTCATATCTTTTATTGATTTTGAGCTTCTTTTCTGGTAGGGATTTTAATGAGATATTGGATGCATACGAGAGAGGAGACAAGTTTTATCTCTACACTGGCAGAGGCCCATCATCTGAAGCTTTACATTTGGGGCATTTGGTTCCCTTCATGTTTACCAAGTGAGTGAACCTTCTCATCGTGATAGTATCATTATTATTGGTACAAATTTAAGGTATCTTTGGGCAAATGAATTATTTTTGTGGAATACATTTGGAAAATTTTGATTTATTAATTATAAATAGACTTTTGAACATAGGAAAGAAACAAATTTAAAATCATCAAAATTCACATTCCATCAATTTCAATGGAATTTGGAATTTATTATTTTAATTCAAATTAGAATTTATTTGGTAATGGATTTTCATATTTTCATGTTTGAAGCAAGCGAAAAAAACTAAAGCTTTTCCCAAATGAAGTCCATAAAATAATTCATTTGTTCCAATAATATCCTTAGCGTCTTATATTTAAATTGATAAAGTGCTGTTTTCCATAGTTTGGACATTCTCTGAGTTTGTGCATTTATGTTGACATTTAAGAAGTGCTGTTTCTCATAATTAGAACATTTTTGAGTTTGTCCACTTTATATCGTAAGTTTTGCCGTATTGGTTTTGCAGCTAGTTCTTTTCTTTTGTTTTTTTTTTTGGGGGGGGGGGGGGGGGGAGGGGTGATGAGTCTTATTCTTAATCTCTTTATGTGATTTTAAGACTTCTCATCTCTAGATCCATTTGGAAAAAAAAAAACTTCTTATTTCTAGGATAATGCTTGTTGGATATTGCTACATTTGCCAGTGGTTCTTATCATGGCTTGTGGAACTATATATTTTCCTGTGGAACAATGTTGTGTCTGCCTCATGGTCAGCACTGTTTTCTTTTTTTTTTTTTTTTTTTTTGCAGGTACCTGCAAGATGCCTTCAAGGTTCCCCTTGTGATACAACTTACTGATGATGAGAAATGTATGTGGAAAAATCTGACTGTGGAGGAGACCCAGAGACTTGCCAGAGAAAATGCTAAAGATATTATTGCTTGTGGTTTTGACATAACCAGAACCTTTATCTTTTCTGATTTTGACTATGTTGGTGGGTATGTAATCATACTAAAGTTCCACATGAAATAAAAGAAGATAAATCCATCTGGCCCTGACCCCTCTTCTTCCCTGTTAGGTTCATGATTTTTTTTTTCTAAACTTTGTGTTTGTTTCTCTTGTCTTTTTAAGTCTAGTGTACTTTTCATTTATTTGCTCGGCATGTTGAGATTTATATGTTTCGGGTAACTAAAGCGATTTTTTTATAGAAGTTATCCTCAATTATCTTGTTAAGGTGGTGGTCCATACTGCTTCTTGCCAATTTTTGGAACCTGGTGTTTCAACAATCAGGATCTTTTGTTTCCAAAGATGATGATACACAGCACTAGGTCATGATCGAATCAGTGGGTTGTAGTGAATGTCCAGAAAGTCAAGTATCATATTGTTATAGACTATTCAAATCAAGACATTGCTCTTTGGTGTCTGATTGCCTTTATATCTCCCTGCATACACTGAGTCAT